TCACATAAATCTAATAACTTACCCTGAGAAAGTATCCTCTATAGTCTCATCTGGCACAGTAGTACTAATATTTGAATAATTATTAGATTGAGACTCAACGCCGTTAACGGTCTCTTCTAACTGCTGAAAGGTTTTACTAGTCGATAATGATTTTCAGTAAATTTTTTTTAAAGGTACCTATTATTTATATACTTTTTAAAATGCCTATTCATTTACAATGTACCTACATACGGAGAAAACTTGAAAATCTTGTATTCAATTTTAAAATGTTAGATACGAAAAGAATATTTTCTATGAGTTCTATACTTGTTTAGTAAAAAAAAAGAACATATCTATAAGACTATATATTATTATAAAATTGCCAGAATGTTTTAAATTTGTATTCAGATGAGATTTCATCCAATACGATTTTTAACGAATTATAGGTACATTTTTATTTTCCGTATACCATTATTAATTTCCGATTTCCCGATAACCCACTAACCTAAATCAAATCGATAAATAGGTACTCTACGAAAACATTATAATTACCTAGGTATATAAATAATAAACAATGTTATATAATTATATAAATTACATAAATATATAATAATTAATAACTATCGAAAATACTTACTTATTTAAAATATGAAAATTAAAAATATTGGAAAATTAAATTGGAACTTACTTGTTAGTTGTCTTATACAACTTTTTATAAGCCAGTGCTCGGCCCCCTTTCAGATTTGAGGAACGTCTGTTTTTTAAATTTTTTTTATTTGCCATTATGTCTTGGCGTTTATAAAAACAAAATTAAAATAGATATTATATTGATAAAGTATAATAATATGATGACAACGCACGACACTACGACAGGCGAGTTTGTCAATGGAATGATAAAATAGTAGGTGATAATTTCGAAATAATAATAATCATATTCATGCTAACAAATAAGATACAAAATAAATAATAATTATCTTATCGATAATAATATAATTTATAGTGGTTGCGGGCTGTGGGCGCGTCGACATAGAGTATAAATAACTTATTACGTCGCGCGCATTGTAGTGGAGAGGGACGCCGCTGTGTACGACGACGTTTGAATTCACAGTGCCGTTAGGAGCAGCACTTGACAGCGCAAAATTTACATTTCACGGCGTTTAACCCTTTCCGTCATATATTTATATTTAAAGAAAAAAAATTTTTTTTTCAACTAATTTGAATTAAGCTTAATTTTAAAAGTTTTTTAAAGTTGGTCCCAAATTGTTTGGACAGGCTGATCCTGAGATATAATGTGTCCTCTCAACAGGACAAGATGACGTAAAGGTATCTATGTTAAATAATACAAAAAATACTACATCATTTGGATTCTTATGAATTTAGATATGCTTTATTAAGAAACATTTATCAAATTATTAAATAATAATCTATGGAATTAAAATAAAAGTTTAAAATTAAAACATTACATGGTTTAAAGTCAAAATTATATTTAAAACTATTTTTTATTTAGAATGAAATGATTCAAAACAATTTTGCTTACGTGCTATACATAAGTTGACACTACATTTTTTACAGCTTACATACGTTTTAGATTTACAACCAAAATTCTTACATCTTCCAGCCTCTTTCTTATCCAGGAATACTGGTGTATGTCCTATATCATCAAATCGCACATCATTAATTGGACGGTTTTTATGTAAAGGGGCACAAGTCATTTTTCGTTGGTTTTCAGGAGACTCATAAAACATTCCCAAAATTTTAATTTTTTCTGAATTAAATTTTTTTTTTTGTTTATATTTTATTTATAATTTTATATGTTTTTTCAACCTACTTGTATAAAAGAAATTTCATTATTTCTCATTTATTAATGACTTGTGACCAATTGCACATACAATATTGACTTGTGACCTTTCTCATATACTGACTTGTGCCCTATTACACATTTAATAAAACAAGATTTTGACTTGTGCCCTTTTTCATTTACTTCATAAATTTAATTAATATGATAATGCTTATTGATTAATATAAATTAATATCATAAGGTAATAAAACAAAATAAAGACATACAATAACTAATAATGTATATTTTAGTATTTAAATAATAATGATAACAAACTAAGTTTTAATAATATTGCACACATTCTTTGTGGCTAGGTACTGGTTAAAAAATAATAAAATAATATCATTTAAAATATATCATAATATTAACAACAAATAACAAAAAATAATTGAAAAGGTAATTCCATTTAAACTTTTTAATAATTGTTTACACATTCTTTGTGACTAGGTAGATAATGGTTAAAAAATAATATCAATTAAAAATATATATCATAATATTAACAAAAAATAATTGAAAAGGTAATTCCATTTAAACATTTTAATAATATTGCACACATTCTTTGTGACTAGGTACTGGTTAAAAAATAATAAAGTAATATCAATTAAAATATATCATAATATTAATAACAAATAACAATAAAAAAACGTTACTCGTCATCAGACAGTATTGGGTCGTTCACATTTTTCTTTGTTTTTAAATTTTTATAGTAGTCATGAAACACATCTGGAATCAGTGGTAGTAGTGATATAAGATCTGTTTTTTTTTCAATTGTTATGGGTAGTTCTTCGTCATAAGCCATAGGTAAGCTACTTTCATTACTTTTTTTCCGTGTCATATCTACTTCAAGAAATACAGCTTCATCTTTTAGTGATGTCTTGTAAAGAACTGTATTCTTTCGGTCTTTTACATAACGCATCCATTTGACATCATGGAATACAAATTTTTCTCCAGTTGTATTTTTTTTATTTTTTTGGTACTTTGTTTTAAACAAACTGTTAAAGTCATAAAAATTGGTTTGTTTCATATCAATGACATTGAATTTTTCTTTACCAACCCAGCGAATCATTTGAGTCCAATCATTAGGATGGTTTATAGGTAGAGGGTATCGTTTGCGTCCTTTTTCAATACGTGCATGATCCGAGTCACACTCCATTCGTGTGTGACCAGGAACTAAAAACTTGTGATCTATTATAGTGACAGTATCTTGATGCTCCATAAACCAAAGAACCATTGCCATCATAATGCTGTTCTTGTTTTGGCCAGAGCAACAGTCACTGTACATAACTACATGGTTAATTTCTGGAGACAGACATTTTAAATAATTAAAAACACAAGAACCAATATCATTCCCTCCCCTCTTTGCAATAGGTTCACTCCATATGAAACATGATGCTATTGAAGTATTTATATTATGTACAGTTAAATTGTAAGTCCATAACTGACGCTTGTAAAATGCAACTGAAGACTCCAAAAGTGGAGTAGGTAGACATTGCTGGAGATCGAAGGACAAAACACATTTATTGTAAGTTGTTGATGTAGATGAGTCAATTCTTTTTGAAGAATATGCTTCTTCAGCGTCATCTTGATGGTTTTTTTTTTCAACATTTAATTCAATTCTTTTTTCACTTGAACAGCCACTGTTAGAAAGTTGCATTTTTATTCGGTCACATTGAGCACATGTATCTTTCTTTGGGCTTTTCACTTTTAACCCTGATAGTTTAAAATGTTTTTCATAAAGGCTTCTACAAACAGGAGTTGAGACAGTTTTTATGTACTCATTGTAAGCAGCTTGAAGTGTAAAATAAGGAGGTAAATACTTTTTTGTAGTTTGTTTTCGACAGTAGTGACTCTCATATGTTGGGAGTTTCTTAATATGATCTATAACTGCTTGTATGTCCTCAGAGGTTCTTTTATTTGCTGGCTGTGTGTGGCCCCTTTTATCAGGTGTCATATTAGGGCTGTTCGATTGTTTCGATTAATCGACTGTAGCATCGATTAATCGATTAATCGATTATTATTTTTGAAAGTATTCAACACCGATTAATCGCATTATCGATTAATCGCATTATCGATTAATCGAAAACATCGATTACTTGAAACATCGATGAATCGAAAACATCGATTACTTGAAACATCGATTAATCGAAAACATCGATTAATTTAAACATCGATTAATCGATACATCGTAAATTCTTAACATATTAACATATTATCATATTACCATGGTTATTGATTATAATAACGAAACGATCGCTGTGCTGCCGCGTTAACAATATAATAATAATAGTAAGTGATAGTGGCGGGCGGGTCGCCACATTATCAATGATAATGATAATACATCATTAGTTAGGTCCTATCTAATAATAGTTTATTATTAGATACTATTATTATTTATTATTATTGGTTAGTTTATTGTTTATTACTTAGTCAGTATTCAGTATTCAGATTTGAGATTCCCGGTATTCGTATTATTACTTATTAGTAAATTAGTTATCAAAATGAGTCAAGTGTGGAACGTTTTTACAAAGTCTGAATGTGGTCAAAGAGCAAAGTGCGGAGTTTGTCTCAAAAGTGTGTCGAACTCTGGATCGAATACGACAAACCTCTGGAATCACTTAAAATCAGTTCATAAACATAAATATAACGAACTGGATAGATTAAAAAGGGGTACAGAATATATAGATGATGATTCAGAAACCAGCCTTAATATGTAAGTTGCAACTTTTATGTCAGTAGCCAGTACCTACCTACTTTTATTTTTAAAGTAATTAAAATGTTTACACTTTACTCCATAGTTCATCCATCTATTTTTGTTATCGTATCATTAATTATTATTTCCATTAAGATTATTATATCTAATAATATATCAAGTAATTTCTGTCTTTGCCTTAATTGGCTTCATTGGTATGATTATATAAAGATCAATTATTATTCTTACCTATTGGCTATTTTATTGTATGCTAAATATTATTTATACTTTAATTATGTAATTTTAATATTGTAATTGTCAAACTATCATAGTTTTTACTAATAGTTTCAAAAAAAAAAAAAAAATGTTTAACTTGTTTTTTTTATTACATTTTAGGCAATTTATAATTACTTATTTTTTAAGGATAAATTACAAAATGTTTGTAGTCTTTTAGTGTTTATATTAAAATATTTTATGTTTTATTTTCAATTTATAGTTCAACTATTTCTCATGACTTATCTATTGACAATATGAGTAATATTGATTCAAGTGATACTCAAACTAGACTAACAGACGACCAAACTGTCCAAACTTCAGCTGACAGTAGCAAACCAACGAAAAGTGATCATGCCAAGCAAACATCAATGGATGCATTCACCTTTAAGTCTATGCCAAAATGTGCAAAATTAAAACTGGACAAAGCTCTAGCATATTTTATATCTTTAGATATGATGCCATATAGCATTGTGGAAAAAGAAGGATTTAAATTGTTCACAAAAGCGTTAAATCAGAGTTATCAATTACCAAGCAGAAGTACTCTTACTAATAAAAGAATTCCAGATTTATTTAAGGAGACAAAGTTAAAGATTGAGCGAATATTATCAGAAGTTCCGTTTTTATCAATAACTACAGATTGTTGGACTTCTGTTGCCAATAAACCATTCATAGCAATCACTTGCCACTTTTTGGACAAATATTGTAACCTAGGTAAATATTTAATCTTTTATTTAATTAATACATCTCTTAGCTACTATTTAAAATAAAGTTATTTAAGCACTTTTTTTCTCAATACTTTTAGGCAGTGTTTGTCTGGGATGTGAAGAGCTTAGTGAAAGTCACACAGGGGAAAATATCTCAGATGTCTTACAAGTTATTTTGATGGAATACAATTTTAAATTTGACGAAGGAATATCTATTAGTGCTGCTACAACGGATTCGGGAGCGAATATCATTAAAGCTATTAACAATTTAATGGTACCCCATGTGCCTTGTTTCGGTCATAGCTTCAACACATCCGTCCAAAAAGTGTTTTCATTAGAAGAAATAAAACCTATCATAGAAAAAGTGAAAAAAATACAAAATATATTTGCTTATAGCTGGATGGCTGCCAAAGATTTGGGTATCGAACAAGAAAGGTATGGATTCAAGTTAACTAAATTCCCTTCTTTTTCAAAGACAAGGTGGTGGTCAATGCTAGATGTTTTGGATGTGGTTATATCTCAAGAGCTTCCACTTTCATCATTTCTGAGAACACACAAAAAAGGTGTACATAAAGAAAAAATGCTAACAGAAGATGAAATGAGAATAATAAAAAATATCTTGTTAGTATTGAAACCGATACGGATAATATCTGATAATTTATCTGCAGAATCATATGTAACAGCATCTGCGATTCTTCCTGTGGTAAATATGTTGGAAAATAAAGTTCAAAACCAAGAGTTACCAACTGACACTGATAATTATTTTGACCCCCTATTAAAAGATCTAATTTTTAAAACAATTATCGATGTACTTCATGCTCGGTATAACAATTCAATTATATTACAATTTTGTACTGCTTTGGATCCAAGATTTAAATTAGACCAGTTTCATTTTGATGAATCAGAGGACATTTTATTCAAAGATGCATTACAAGCAGAATGTCTCCGCAACTGGATATATTGGCAATCCAAATCTGATTCATCATCATCTAATACAATAGTACATCAAAATAAAAAACCCAAAGGATTATCACTTTCCGCTATTTTCAACTCTGGATTTGGCTCCGAAACAGTTAATATGGTAAGAATGTTTAAACATTTTGAATATATATTATTATTAGACATTTATATTTTATGCTAATATAGCAAAAGTATTAAGTAACAACTAATACATCTAAACGTTGTACTAACTATTATTGTTTTATCTATTTATTTTAGGACCAATTACAAGGCTCAAATTCTGAACCTGTAGTGCACATTTCAAAAGAAATTAGTTCTTATTTTCAACTTCCTAAAATAGCATATGAACAAGATCCAATTGGGTGGTGGTCATTAAATAGTAGTATGTTTCCTATTCTTGCAGTGACTGCTAAAAAATTATTAAGTGTGCAAGCTACCAGCGTAGCATCAGAAAGAGTATTTAGTCGTGCTGGGAATATAATAACAGATACTAGGGCATCATTGACTGATGATCATTGTAGTCAACTTATATTTTTGTCTATGAACAAAAAATATGTAAGCAACCCACTCTAAATGTTCCTTTTATATTATGATTGAAATATTTTTACATAAGTTACTATTACTATTATCAAAATAAGTGTTATATTTTGTTTTATTTTGTTTTTCATTTTTATTTTGTTTTTAAAAAGAAGTATTTAATAGAAAATAACTTTTTCAATTATTTTAACAGATAATTTAAATGTTGTTACTAAAGTAACTACTACAGTAATACCAAAATAAGGGTTTAATTTTGTTTTGTTTTCAGTTTTATTTGTTTTTACAAAAAAATATAGTATTTAAAAGAAAGTTATGTGTACTTAGAAGAAAAAATGTTTTTTTTTTTCATTTATTTAAATATTGTTACAAAAGTTACTATTACAGTATCCAGTATCACTGTATCAGTCTATTAGTGTAAATCTGATAGAGAATGCAAAAAAAAAAAATCAAAATTATATTATCAAAAGGCTAAATGTTAACTAGTGCAAAGAGACAATAGTTACGCTTGTAGGTAGGCCAGGTAAGGATATAAATAAATGTAGAAATGGATCTTAACATTTTTCTATAATTAAAGCAAGAATATTAATCAAGACAGCCTGGAATTTATTAGCAGTTATTATATAATAACTTACCAACTATAAGTCTATAACTAACTATTGTGATATTTGCTAAATAGATAGGTATGAATTTATTTTAATTTTAATACAAGCGCTGTGAGTTTTACTAGTTTTAATCTGTAAAACTTTAAATACATTTCCTATGATAATAGCATTAGTAATAAACTAATAACTACAAATTAGAGATCTTTCATCAAAATTGTTAACCTATCTACACAAGAATACAAGATTCCAATTCAGAATTTGGCACTACTTTAGATCTTAAAATTTATGTCACTACAGAGTACAGATCCTTAGTTATGTCATATTCTTAGCTCCCAATTTAAATTTCCATGGACCTGTGGCCTGCCTCTACCTATAGGTACCAATGTGGTTGATATTAAATACACGTGAGGCCCTTAAGGCCTGGTCAAGTGACCCGTTTGAACTGGCCTTGGACAGCACACACAGTGTAAAAATGTTATCCATCGACCATCATCATTCTAATCATCAAACAGAATACCTTTTATACTTCTTAGTTTTTAGTATTTCAAAAGTATATTAAATATTAATCTAACCATAAATTATTGCATTTTTCTGAAGTGAGTAAAATAACAACCTTAAACCTTTTGGGCACTTGGTAGGAGATATAATTGAGCTGTACTGCCTATACCCAGAGGTTAAAAATATATATTTTTCCGTATTACACACTTTATATTAAACTTGAAGCTATCATGGGAGGCTCTACCCCCCCCCCCCCAAAAAAAAGAAGTGTATTTAGTCCATACACATTAACACCTGGACCTGGCAGTAGATTATCCCATGTATCTCTATGGCAGTAGGGAGTACAGACTAGTGACTACATCACAATAAAATAGGTTTAGTTTTATTAACCGAATAAAATGAATTAAATTCTTATCTATCAATTGCTCTACATCAATTTTTCAATTAATAAAGAAAAAATTGTAAAAAAGCATTACACACTTAGCATTTGGTACTACACTAAGACAAAGTGTGTCGTACTCTCGTACTACACACAATTTTAGCCCTTGGCTATACTTAAACCAGTTAAACCGTTAATCGATTAATCGATTGTTTTAATAGATTAATCGATTGTTTTAATAATTAATCGATTAATCGATAGGTCTTTGACTATTTTAACAATCGAGCACTCCTTGTTGAAAATCTTCGATTAATCGAAGATTTCGATTATTTAATACTTTTGACAATTGATTATATTTTATGACAATCGAACAGCCCTATGTCATATTATTTGCAGGAGAATTGAATTTTTTATTGCAAATATTGCGCAGAAATTTAGTAGTTTCACCAAATATTTTCAGAAAACATCCCTTGCAAACTTTAACTAAGAGTTTATTTTTATCGGGAATAAAATAATGAATAGTTGTATTCCTGTTTTTTTGTTTTTCCGGTGTCAATCTACGTTTTCGGTTTACTTTTTTCTCATGAAAAGTTATTAATCCAGAAATATAAGTAGTTCTTCTATTGTGAGTTTTCATTGACCAATATGTAGTAAATAATTGCTCACGTAATGTATTGTCAATTTTTGAATTACATTTTTCCCTACAGTTTGGTAATTCTTTTGAAAATCTGCTTTCAATAATTTTACCTTTATTAGTGACATATTTATTACCAGAATTCCTGTTTGACTTTATGTAACTACGATACTGAACAGTATCACCTTTTATGCTAACCCTGACTTTCCTACCAGTTGGATGAGCCTCTTCTTCATTGTTATTCAACAATAAAGTATGTTCTGATGTGCTAGGAATATCAATATTAGATAATAATAAAGTAGGTTCTGGGATGTCAGAAATATCATTGTTAGTCAACAGTAAAGAATTTTCTGGTGTGCCAGGAATAATACTTTTATCATCCGAATTATTTGAATATTCTTCAAATCTGTCATCACTACTTACAGCCTAAAGTGGATATTGAATCAATATAATTATTTGAATAGACAAAAATTACTATTTTAAAGCAAAATATAAAAACATATATTTACTGAAATTATAAAAATGTATCCTTTATAGTTTATAACATTATTGCTATAAAATCTACAATTTTATAAATTATTAAAATTTACTAAAATATTATAATAATAAAATAAGTTGATCACCTTGGGCACAAATTCAAGTATCTCCTTATGTTGTTTATACTCATATAGCTTTTCAGGCTCATTAAGTGAATTATTATTATGAATATTATATTCATCTTCAGTTATAATTTCAAAAACTTTTCCATTCAAATTTATAGTATTATCTTTTGATTCTTGAGCTGGCTATTTTAGCAAAATTTACAATAAAATTAATTAAATACCTTCATACCAAATTCAATAGATTTAACATAATTGTTTTTTTTTTTATAAAGTACTTACTAATTTACTATATACCTGAGGTACTTC